ATTCACAGAGAATTTAGCTCCAAGGAAACGGCCTCAGCAATACTCTGAGAAAGAAGAGCGTCCTATTTCTTAAATACCACAGAGTAATCCTATGTTTTCTGTAATGCTGCTATCATGTCATCCACTGCTACCCACTCCCCTTGTTTGTGTTTAGTGGGTTCAACAGATGGTGGTGTTGAAGCCTCTCGGTGCAGTTTTGGAGGCCAAAGAAATGAGGGGAAAAATGAAGTCTGGCAAGAGATGAATAATTGATGATGGATCCTATTTTTTCTTGCTTGTTTGTTTTGTTTTTGTTTGGGTGGGTTTTCTTTCCCCACTGGGCTAACTTGACCCTCAAGTTTGGCACCAAGTCACAGCAGAGATGTGCTCAGATGAAGTCTGTGTACAAGAAAACAGCTTACAGTGCAGAGCAGTGTCTGATTGGCCTATCTTTCAGAGGGAAAGCGGATTAGTGTGGCCGCTTATGTCTGTGCATGAGTGTGTCTTAGTGTGTGTGTGTTGGCAGCAGGTGCACTCAAGCACGCCTACCACGCGCTCCCGCTCCTGTGCATAAGGTTAGTAAGATTGAGAAACGAAAGAAAGGGAAGGCGCCTCTGCGACTTTAAAAATATTTTTAGTCCATCGTGCCTCAGTGGTCAGGAAAAAATTGGCACTGAAGGCGGAATTAGGCTTGTGCCAGGACGCTAATAAGGTTAAGGAAAGCTCAGTCCTAATGTACCAGAAATTAAACGTCACTTGCAAGTACACCGTCACCTGGGAGCTGCTTCACCTCATCGCACACAGACTTTGGAGAGAGAAGGCGGCGCATACTTGTGCACGTTAACACAGGTATGTAGCTCTTGCTTGCTCTTCTTAGAATAAGGACAGCAATTTGGAGGAAGTTGGGAAATTTCTTGCAGGTTTTTTTTAATTTTAGACAAGAATATAAGAAGGGAAAAACAGGTGTTGAACTGTATTCACAAAGGAATCAATCTACAAGGCCGTGTTTGGCCGTATTTGGTTCATTTTCTGACAGTGTAAGCCTATTCTTGTGCTTTGGAAATTGTAGTTTAAACTTGAGTTTTGCAGTGGTGTGCAAGAGCAAAATACATGTATATGTACATGTTGCATTTGTTAGCTTCTTTGCTTCATACCCCAGCTGACTATTCAAATTTAATGAACACAGCCCAGTGTGTGTTATCTGGTTACCAGACTCAAGTTACACTTACGAGGCTACACAGCACGAACACGCATACCTCTCGGAGTGTCCAGAAGGACACCTGATTCAGTGTTGGAGAGTACCTAAAGTACTACTAAAGTTTAGTTTTATTGTACTTTTAAGCAACACTTTAAGGAACTTCTACTCTAATACAGAAGGAAGTATTGTACATTTCTAGTCCAGAAAGCCGTGGTTGCATTTTTGATTTAAGGTTCTTCATAAAACATAAAAAAATAAACAAATAAATGTCTCCTTAAAGGCTAAATCAATGCTTTAGTGTATGTTTGCCTCGTGAGTGTGAACATGTCCAGTGAAGTGGTGTATTAAAATTACTTTTCATGGTCCTGGGAGTGTTGGATTTCTACTTGTAATGCAGTGCTTTCAGATTGTTTTGTATTGATTCATTCTCTTAATTAACAAGATAATCTGAATACTCATTTCACTCCTCTGCAGTTTTGCTTTTTATAACAGAAGCATGCCTAAAGGGCCCTGGTAGCACTGTACTAATAAGTGTATGTGTACACTGTATGCAGGTGTGTATGTGTCTGTATAAATTGCTGGGTTTGCACATGCCTCAGAGAGTGCTTGTCCCTAGGCCTGTGTTTGATGTTGCGCCTGTACACTGGTTTGTGTTTGTGTGTGTGACTGTCTGCCCGTCCGTCTGTCTGGGTGAATGCTTTTGCTTTGCATCACTGAATACTTCAGTCAGTGTATTTATGTGACTATGTGGATGAGACATACACACACACACACACGCCAGAGACGGAGGCGTATGTATGGACTGCTTCCGCCTCACAGCGTAGAGACAATCAGGGCATGCTTCGGCAGTCAGTGGAAAGAAGGGGAGGAACCGAGCAATCGCTACACCACCATCATTTATCACCGAAGACAGACACCGAAACTCACCTCTGCCTACACGTACACATTCGTTTAGGTGAGGAGGAGGGTGAGGAGGAGGAGAGGAAGCAGGAAGAAAGCAGAAAGAGGGAGACAACTATAAAAATATCCACATCTGTGAAAGCCAAAGAGGTGAAGTTAGGGTGAAGAAAGCATGTTTTTGCAGAAAGAGGTACTAAAGGCTCAGAGAAAAAGCAAAGCATTGCAGGAAACAGTGAAAGGGGTGGAGTAAAGCATGGATTTGAATGCTGTAGCCACACCAATTATGGTTAACATTTTCCTACTCTAAAATATAAGAAACAAAGAATGTGACATTTGGCCTTTTTCTTCTTCTTCTGCAACTAAATGAGATGCCTAACACACATCTTCACTAAAATGTGAAGCTACAACCAGGACACGGTTAGCTTGGGTGTCGATAAAAACTGGAAACTGGAGGGGGGGGGGCTATTATAGCTCACCTGGCTGTGTGGGGGAGCCATATGCCAAAAGGCTGCAGGGGCTTGGGTTTGAATTCACCCCAGACCATTTGCTGCATGTCATTCTCCCTATTTTCCTGTCTGCTCTTTACTATCTTTACTATAAAAAATAATAGCTAAACACACACCCCAAAAATAACCCTACACACTCCTTGTTTTAAGAATAAGAATAACTTTATTTATCCCGAGGGAAATTCTTTTGTCATGTACATGCTCAAAGCAGCAGGAGAGACAGAGGAACAGATGAATAAGATATACAATATATACAATAAGAATAGTAGTATACAGTAATAAACAGTAGGATAGTGCGAGACATAGTATCACATAACTCTAACGAAGTAATATATATAACTATATCCTGGAGAATAAATAACTTAACTATCAGTGCAGGCGATTCTAGAAAGTGACATAGTATTGTGCAATAGAATAAAGGGAGTAGCAGCGTATGATGGGGGGATGAAACAAATATTCAATAAGGTACTGTTGGGTACTGTTGGTGCTGTTTCTTTATTCAGCACTGAAAAAACACATTGTGCAAATCATGTGCTGGACTGTTTCTTGACCTATGTTTTGAGTAACTTTCTGGAATCCTTGCTGGTTTTTAACTCTGATGAAATAACTTTTTTTTCTCCATAATTTGTGTAGATGTTTATATATATATAAAAAAACACTAATTAAAAACTCTAAATTTGAGGGGGTGGGGGGCTGTTTACCCCAAATTTTGGTCTTAAACACAAGAGTGATCATCTGATCTAAAATCGCCTTGAGGCGACTTTTGTTGTGATTTGGCGCTATATAAATAAAATAAAATTGAATTGAATTGAATTAAAATGTCATCTATACCAAATTTTCATTAAATAATCTCTCTGAATAGGTTGTATGGCAGATTTTTATCAAATATTTTTATCTAATTATTTCTATTCCAACATATTTATAGCAAAAAATCAAAAGACTGTACTCTCGTGTGTAGGCTTATGGCTTTCAATGCCTAAAAACAAAGATATCTGAAGGACAAACAAATATCATCCCACTTGCAGGGGCTGTCATGACATGTAAACAGTGGTAAAATGATGATTTGTAGTGCCACATGCTCATATTCCTAACCATTCTCTTATTAATATAACAGGAAGAAATAGACACAAGCACTAAAGCTCTGGTCTTTGGTGTTTCTACCGCACTGTCTAGTTACCCAGTTTTTCCCTTTACCAAGCTAGTCCAGGTACTAAGGGCTTTGAACTGGGTAAAGTGAGGACACATTTCCCCCCTCAGAGCTCCACGTGCAAAACAGCAAATGAGCACTTGCTGTCATATCGTGACATATCTCCTTGATGTACAGCGGAGACGACATATTTTAATATCCTACTTGCCGAATCTGGTGGCCTGCTGTGCATGTTCTCAAGACAATAGAGCTAAATACACTGTAGGTTTAATTTGCAACATGTGGGCAGGTTTAATGTAATTCTGTTTACAGCTTTGGACTGTTGTGTGTGTGTGTTGCTGTGGTGGCGTTATGGTGTAAAGATGCAACATACTGCTGCCTCTGCGTTGTCTTTTCATTACCCTCCTTTTATATTACGCTCATTTGATCCTGTGCTGTGTTCTTCATGATAACAACAGCAATTAAATCTTCACAAGGAGAGAGGAGATAAAGAATTCATTGCAACTTATCTGGCTTCAGTCAGTGAAACCTGATTTCAAATGCACATTATCATATCTGACAACATAATGTATTTTGGATTAAAAAAAAACTGAGAAAGAGAGATGTACAGCTGCCAACTGAAAAGGCATATGAATTACTCTTCTTGTTAGGAGTAATCTGTGGACTACTGCAGATGTCCGTTACATACTTTGTGATTGTTTTCCTCCTTATATTAGATCTATATAATTTAACTATAACTGAATGGTTAGTCCAGGTGTGGGCATTATACAGCAACATCAACAAACACTTCCAAGGAGCTCCAAATGCGTTCAGCTGTCTGATCTGTTTTACCTAATTTAACTTGTGAGAAGCTGAACATACGACTCAAAACGAAGGCATCAGTGAACCATACATTATGACGAATAGGTCTCCTTTAAATCCATATTTTCCCCCGCTGATGTCTTCGGATCACCTGTCAGAGGAGGAACATGCGCGGTGGGCATCAGAGCTGAGAGGCTGGTGGAAAACCTGCGTGAAAACGTCAAGCATCACAAAGCGGAAGTCGAATTCCGCTTCACTATAAAGGCATCCAAATGTCATAATTGAAGATGAAACGTTTAAGGATAAATTGGTTTCTTTTTTTCTTTCATTTTCATTTACGATCTTTACTAATCCGTTTTAACCTTCACTAGTCCAAATACGTCGTTGTCTGCGCAGTTTACGTTTTAAATGCTCAGTAAAAAAAAAACCGCTTTCCTTTCCTCTTAATTTTATTTTGTAAGACTGTACCGGAAACCAGCTTTTGTGGCTGTGAGCGGTTGTAAAAACGGAGACCCCTCTTACGGAAAACTGTGGTTAACTGTGCTGTAGCTACAGCTGCAGAGATGCGAGGGACAGAAAAACGTCGTGAAAGGAAACAGAGGGCAACACCGAACCTGAACGTAAAGTAACCGCCGTCACAAATCATCTGAGATGTTTCGAGAAACCGAGGAGCAGCATCTTCGCAGCGCTTTCTCCCGCTGGAGATAAAAACCGAGAAGAGGATCGCGCATTGATCCGAGAACAGGGGGACGGGAGGGGCCGATCATGGGGAACGAAGCAAGCCTTGAAGGAGGCGAGGGGCCGCCGTCTGGGCTACCCGAGGGGCTGGCACCTGACGGGAAGGGGGGCTTTTACCGGGTCTCAGACGGGACACCGGTCAACCTGAGTGAACTCAGCGAGGAGCAGAGGCGGCAGCTCTCCGCGGCGATGTCAAGGGCGCAAGGCAGGCAGCCCGGAGGCGCGGCGGCTGGACGAAGGCAGGGAATTTAAACCGCATTTATGATGCACTTCAAATACCCACAATAACCAGGCCATTTTATACGACACGGAGAGAGGATGGGCACGAGTGGATGTGTTGTGGTTGTGTGAAGCATCGTTTGGGAATCTGAGATGCTCTAAAGGAGGCAGAGAGCCCGATCACGCCCATTTAAAAAAAAAAAAATCATGTCAACCGCTCCAAGAAATGATTCCCTTCTTAGAGCTCGCTCTTATGGATAATCACCGAGATCTGATGATCTGCATGGCTGTGATGTCTCTCTTGGCAATTAAGTCGTACAGCCATTCGCGCTTCTAACGAAGACATACACGTCTCATTTTAACCCAGCAAACGATTTGTGTGTATGTGTGTGTGTTCCGTATTAAGAAATATACAGTATTGGTCACTGTTTATGTGTGGTATGTGCGTAAGAGACACACCTCCAGTATTTATGCGAAATTTTCGAAATGCCTGCTGGGTAAGAAAATCTGTCGTGCCCAGTGTGTTTTTCTCCGATCGAACGACGCCTTAACACCCAGCTAAAAACAAACCCGACACCGTCAGCCGTGAATGCGCGCCAATTAAACGTTTACCCCTGAATTTCACCGAATTGGATTTTAACCGATGGTGTCGTGGAGGAGGAGTGGGGGGTGGGGGATGCTGGGTTGTGAAACTGGGGTGTAGAAACCTGCCGACGAAAACAATATGCAGATTTGGGTTTTACGTCATGTTTATCACGGTGAAAGGTTTGTGAATAGGTGTGGGATAAAATGCCAAGATTTGCCTTACTAATTGGCTCCAGCGGGAAGGGGGGGGGGGGGGGGTATTTATATCTGAGCTAGAGGCTGAGAGTGGGGGGAGGGGGCACATCAATATTAATATGACTATAAATAGAACAGAACAGGCGTTAATGTCATCACTCATATATGTCTTCGCAGCTGAACGTTTAACTAAGTCGGATTTCATCCTCTGTTGTGGACACATCTGCCCTGGAATGAGGCTGATCGCTGTCCGTGGTCCTGAAATCCACAATGCAGCGGGCTGGCTCACAGCAAGCATTGCGCCGCCACTACTTTTCACTGTTTGCTCGGCTCTTAAAGTACCCCCACATAGCCTGTGCTCACTATAAAAATAATCACATGTATTCATTACTGCATTAAATTTTATTGCCTGAGGATGTAATTTAATAATGGCCAAAGCCTCAGAGACTTTAAAACAGCAGAACCAATATATCTCGGCTGTATGTTGCATACACACATGGTGATACAATAACAAACAGTATCCAGTCGGTCCATTAGCACACTGATGCATTTTTCTAAATATCCTGCAGTCCTTTGGCTAGGCTTGTGCTTACTGCATGTTGCCTCTCAGTCTGAGCTAACAAACACGTCTCAGCTTACCCCTGTGGAGCCAAGCGTCTCCCCTCTCTATCTCAACAATCTACACTCCCATGTCATTCAACGGTATTCACTTTCCTGTCAGCTTTACCCCAGGGCTGCTCACTACACATTTTGTGCTCACTGATGTGTTGAATAGGCCTGAGAGCTACGGGCTTAGCTTGTGTTATTAGCAGAGGGATGCTACAGATGAAGTTTAGGCATTTACAAGTTTAGGTTTTGTTGTTGAAAGGATTAACAGCATAGCATGCAAACAGTCCAAGAAAAAAAGGAGATGATAAATGTTCCTATCCTCTGTAATTCACAATATTATTGGAAAAAGGAAGCTTTATTAAGCATTAATGTACGCGTAACTAAGACAAAAGGCTCATGTAGATGTTAAAACGTGTGGTGCTGATGTGATTGGGTTTTTTTTAGCGTTTGTTCAGAAAATGTGTTGGAGTGTCAAAGTGAATATGAATGATTCAAGCAGAAACAATAACACAAACGAGTTGTTTTTCAGGGACAGTGCACATTTATCTGAAGCTCCATAAATGTGTTAATTTCAGCCAAAGGCAAATTTTCAACTGCCGCCAGATGTTGGTTTGTTCTCTAAAAATACAAAGATTAATGGATGAAGGTCGAGTTGAAGTGGATTTTGCAACTATCCAGATATTAAAGTCTTCGTTTCCAGTTAGGTGTTATTATCTATCTGTCTAACAGATAAACCTATATGTGTCTGTTTTCTTTCTTCCAGACCATCAGAATCTGACGCACAGCAGCGTTCCCAGCAGGTAGGAGCCTCCAGGGGCCCAACAGGTCTTAGCAAAAGCCGAACTGTTGACGCCTTCAACCAGGGTCCACTCGGAAAGCCCACACCAGGCCGCAGCCCTTCGTCTCTTAGCCTTTTTGAATCAAGATTCCGGCAGGAGCCAAAAGACCCTGAGACCAAGTCATCCGGCATGTTTGGCTCCAGTTTTCTCAGCGGGGCCAACCCCCTCAGCGCTGTATCTTCTATGACTTCGTCTGTCTCCTCCTCCATATCCTCCATGGGTGATACTGTCAACATTCCCAAATTTGGACTGTTTGGGGATGAAGAGGAGGAAGGCTTGCCTGCAGCTTCTGAGTCCAAGCAGGGAGGGAAGCCACAAGGGAAAGGTCCACAGCAAGGGCCAGGTCCGAAGGGACCACAGCAGGGAGGACCCCAGAAACAGAGTCAGGGCCCTCCTGGACAGGGAGCAAAGCCAGGGCAAGGACCCCCTGGTCAAGGACCCAGACAAGTTCAGGGACCACCAGGCCAAGGGCCAAAAGCAGGCCAAGGTCCTCCTAGCCAAGCACCACCAGGGCATCAGGCCCCCAGACCAGGTCAAGGACCACCGGGTCAAGGCCCACCAGGGTCACAGGCACCCAGACCAGGTCAAGGACCACCGGGTCAAGGACCCAAACAGGGAGGCCCTCTCCAACAAAAAGGTGGTCCGCCACCACAGCAACAACAACAACAAGGACCTGGGAAACCTGGACCCAAACAGCAAGTGCCACAAGGGCCCGGTGCACATCCTGAAGCCCCAGGAAAGACTGCTGGGCCCCCTATTAAGCAGGGAACTGGAAAGCCTGCAGCTGGGATCTGCCCACTGTGTAAAACCACCCAGCTGAACGTTGGATCTAAGGACCCACCTAATTACAATAACTGCACTGAGTGTAAGAACCAGGTCTGCAGCCTGTGTGGATTCAGCCCCCCAGACTCAGCGGTAAGACACGACTGTTCACTTTTTTTTTTTTTCCTCAAACCCCTTTCTTGTCATGAAGACTTTAAAAGAGTTATCACACCTTGTATAACATCCCAAATCATTCATTTCATGTCAGCACCCACAGATCTGTGCTTTCCAGACATCTAAAGGTAAAAAAAAAACATGTATAATTCCTATGTTAGTATACTGGCATTTAACTAATATTACACAATCTAGTTTATGTTATGATGACAGCGTGTGGAAAAGGCCAAGTATCATTAGATTTTATGTCAGTGAAACATCAGTTTTTCTGGGGGTTTTTAATAAATATAATCTGCCAGTAGGAAGACGTCTCGGCTCTGCATTGAAGTCACCATAAAATGACTAGTCAAACTGATTTGTAAACAATGGAAGTTAGCGTCCTCATCCTAAATAGACCAACAAAGAAAAATGATTGCAGCATAAAAAAGAAGTCAAGATAACTAGCCAAGGTGCACATCTTTGCGCTGAAGCTGAATTCAGCGCTCGCCTGTTAACAGCATATCGCTGTTCCGTGAGCCTGGCAGAAGGAGCGCATTTAATAAGAGTTGCAGACGATTTGAGGAACAGAGGGACCATATGGACCCAGGGAATGTTGATCAAGGTGACTCATGTCATGGCCACAGGAAGATACCGTGCCAGCCGTGAGGACACTCAGTCACACATGGACTGTAAACGCTAGTGGGCCATGATTATAGCAGAGCAGAATGGCTGGTTCCATCTGCTCGAGTTTCTTCTTGAGATCGGCTGATGTGCGTAATAACACTGGGATAGTTCAGAAGGCACATTTTTAAAACAAGAGGCTTTGATTTTTGGGTGCATGTTTAGACAGACACTAGGCCTTTAAAATATCCCCAAATATGCAAAGGGGGAAGTCCACCAAGGGTGTATGCAACTCTTAGAGCGTGCTTCTATCGCTGCAAGTAGCAGCTGATACAATAATATATCATCACCTACGTTTATTACTCTTATCTGCAACAGACTGTACACAGCTTTGCCATTTATACTTGGGTTGTTCTTCGAAAGCCAGCGTATTTGCATATGTTGGACGGATTGATCTGTTTACATTTACGCAATAAATAGGCGACCATTACACACAAAAATACGCACACTGCTCTACGCTACAAATACAAATACACATTCTTCTAGATAGCGATCAGCCTGTCAGCACTGACCCTTTTGAACACTGTACTTTGCACACAGTGGAAACCAAGGAGATAGCCAAACACTGAACAAAGAGCTCTCTGCTGTAAACCCGGCTTTTTTAACAACAGGTGTTGATAACTCCTGTATGGTGTAAACAAAGGCAACAAAAGACAGCCAGTTATCATCAACATATAGACCACTTGTAATAAAGGTACTATAACCTGGCATTGATGCATGAATATTATTTGCTTTTTTTGACTGATTAGTATTTGTGTAAATGTTGTTGATGAAAAAACAGGAATTAGCATCATTTGAGATGCAAATTATTTGGTCGTGTCTTTTATTTGCGATTAAAGTTAATTATTGGGCATATACTGTACTTACACTTGTCACTGGTGCATCTAACTAATGCTTTGTTTGTATCTTTTCTTTCATGCACAGGGTAAAGAGTGGCTGTGTCTGAACTGTCAGATGCAGCGAGCCATGGGAGGAATGGATCCCCCTGGTGTGACGAAGCCCAAGCAAGGCTCCGCCCCACCCTCTCCTCAGAGACAGGCATCGGGAAAACCTGGAAAGCTCCTGATAAAACAGCAAAGCACCTCCGACCAAGGGTTAACGCCACCAACCACACCAAGGCAGAAATCCCCAGGTCCTACCTCTCCAGGACCGCTTTCACCAGGCTCCTCAGTCGCAGGATCCCCCAAAATCGACCCCAAGACGGGTCGCCCCATTATTCAGAAGTCCAGTCCTCAGCAGTCCCCAGCTAAACCCAAGCAGGAATCAAGCTTCTTTGGAGGGTTGGGAGGTATCAGTTTAGGGGGGCTCACAGATGCAGCTAAGCCACCAGCAGCTGCTTCACACGCTGCTGAGTCAGTCACGGGAAAACTGTTTAGTGGGTTTGGTGGGTTGATGGAGTCGTCGAAGCCTCAGGCCCAGGCTGCTCCAAAACAGGAGGAATCTGTTGCTGGGAAGTTGTTTGGAGGTTTTGGAGGCTTGACAGAGTCCACTAAAACTCCTGCGGCCACATCTCAAATGTTTAGCTTTGGATCATCCCTCTTGAGCTCAGCCACCAGTCTTGTCACGGGAGAGGAAGATAAAGCAAAGGGTTCAACTCCTGGGTCACCACCTGACTCCCCTGCAGACTCTGGTCCCGGTTCACCACCTGACTCCCCCCTCTCTGGCCCTGGCTCTCCCCCTGATTCAGACTCTGCTCCTGAAACACCGCCCCCTAAGACCAAGAAACCCCCCAGAACCATTTCTGTGGAGCGGGAAGAGAAAGCCCCGGAAACCAAACCCGTGCCCGCTTCAGCTCCAGCGACGAAGGAAAACTGCCCTCTGTGTAATGTGGAGCTAAACGTTGGCTCGACAGACACGCCTAACTACAGCCTCTGCACCGAGTGCAAGAAGACAGTGTGCAATCTGTGTGGATTCAATCCTACTCCTCACTTAGGAGAGGTAAGAAACCCTTATCATTGTCGCTGTTTTCTTACGCCCCTACAGCTTCCTGCGCTCTCAGCACCGTGCACCTACTGCTAATTTATGCATTCTGGTGTATATAAATAGAACACAAACATCCTCTAGATGTTTCGTTGAAATAGGTCACAGTAGAAATACAATTAGGACTATTCAGTTGAACGTTTTCCCCACTAGCATCTCGCAAAAATACCCTTTATTTCTTCTTTTAAGTCTATTAGTTTGACTCAGATAGACAGCGTAATGGCATCTGCACATATTTGACCGCTGAATTAATGGATGTGGTCAATTATGCAACGTTTAAAAAAATCTGTAAGCCTCATTACTGTCAAGCTTTCTTTAGCTGAGAGCGCGGCCAGACACGTGAAGATGAATAGCCTTTTTTTTTAAATGGAGGACTCATCATCAAAGAGCACTTGACTGAACACTGTGTGTCTGTATATGTGTGCATGTGGCTGTGTGCGCTTGCGTGGTCATGTGTAGCGAATGCACGCTTTCCTTTATATAGAGCAGTCTTTAATTGTGAAACTGGATACATGCGACTTGGTAAATATGTAAATGCCAATGCTTATTTGTCTGCTTTTCTGCGTGTGAAAGCATCTCCAACCAGTCACTTCCAGCCTGGTTATCTATCAAGGTGCGGGGACAGGTTTGCTGGTGTTTTCCACGTGTTGTTCCATGTGGAAGCAGCACTGTGAGACCGTGCTTTGAGTTCCACACAGCAGATGGTACTCTGTGGTGTCGAATCAGTATATAATGGGAACAGAGGCCAAAAAGTGCTTTTGGTTGAGCAGTTTCCCAGCATGCAGGCAAAGCATAGTCACATATGCTGCACCCACGTGAACATGTGAATTGTCCCAATTTTGTTTATAGCGTATCTGAGTCACATCTCACAATTAGATCAAACATCCATTGAGAACTAAAGTATAACATAACTAAAGCTAGTGGTCACTTGGGATGGCTAATATCCCCTTGACATAGTCATGCCACTCAGAGCGCAAACACGTGTTTGCCTGGGCCGAAGCTGTATCCTGGTTTCACGTGATAACTGCTTTGTTAGGTCAAGGTTTGGTAATCTGCTGTGTATTTCTGGCTCTAAGCTGAGAATGAGCTTGTGAACGCTGCCAGTTCAGAGGCAGTTTGACATTATGAAAAATATCCTTATTCCCATTTTCCCATTCCGCTTTCATATCTGTCTGTTAAAGAAAATGCTACAGCCAGCAATCCCAGGAGTCTCCTGGAGTTTGGCACACAAACAACCTTTAAACAGGGAGTTTCTGTGTTTACACTCAAGTTTTTGCACCCACCCCTCACTCCCATGTCTGGCAGTCCAGTGACGAGAGTCCACAAGCAGGTCACGGTCACATCTACACTCCCCTTTTATATATGACCACTATTAGTTTACAGTGGTGACAGGACTATTAAAGTTTTTGTACTGTTGTCGTCTTCTGAAGCTCGGATTTTTTTTAATTGCGCATGCTTGCTGGGAGACTGAGGAGCTGAATCACTTAATTGAGGCCAAGCATGGAGGGGGAAATGTAATTACAAAGGCGAGATGGGCATTCAAGCCACTGATGCTCTAATTGGACATAGATTAGTCCTCTTAACATCCTCTTTTCTTGAAGCCCGACTCCGTTTTGTTTTTAGGACAGGCGTAGCTAGAAATTCTTATGGCGAGGGATGACTATTTCTTTCTCTTGCAGGGCTGAATAAGACACATACGTTGAATAAAAATGAAAGGTTCTGACTGAAGTTGTGACCAAGCTTTTGAAGGTTTGACATAAAAGACACACATACACACACACGGCACCTAGGTTGAATCATCTGCCCCCTACGTAGTACGCCTCACTCGTGTGTCATTCGCTGCCATAATGTCGGCTGTCAGAGGGTTTAGTTGCTGACGTGAGTGGTGCAGAGTGTGTGGCGAGTGTGTGTATGTGTGTGTGGGAGGCGACAGTTTGTTTAATTTGTGAGATTGTCGAGCTATTGACATTTGGCTGAGTAGGCTCAGGTGAGCCTTCACACTTCAGGAGAGCTGCTTCTTTTAGTGTGTTTTTGTTCTCACGGTGTGCGTGTGCAAGGATTAGAAATAAGGCATTTCAGGGTCTGTTTGCTAAAAATGTGTCACTTTGTTGAAATATTGAAGGGTGAGCCTCCATCTGCACTGTAATGTGTCAGCATGTATAGCCATAATCTCTGTGTCCTGAAAGGATTTAAAGGGCAACTGGAAGTCTGCCATTTCTGTTGAGGCGTGAGCCCCGACTCAGGTGTTTCTGCTTAATCCCATCAATATGAGTTGTGAAAATAGCCACCCTGGAAGGAAAGGCACTCACCTTAATGTGTTTTCTCTGTTGCTTGCTTTCTTTCAAACACAGCTCCCTTGCTTGCATTTTTGTCCTATTTTCTCTGTCTTTTTTGTATTTCCCACTCTTTTGTATTCTTGGTCTTTTCCTATCCTTATAAGACAAAGAACGACTTTCCTAATACCTGTGTTTTTAAAGACAGTGTATTCTCTATGAGAACCCTCCCTGAACAGTGCTATCCCCCTGCTTTTACCAATGGGGCCCCCTTTGAAGTAGGGAAAGTGTGTAAATGTGTGTCTGCTGCTCAGCAGTGTTACTTTAGCTCAGGCTCCGTGTCACATTGTCCTTATCAGTAATGAGTGTGCTTTTTAGAGGAGCCTTACGTAAAATGGGAAGTGCAAATCAGAGAGTCAGAGCTAAGAGTAGAGTTGTGAGTTATACTCTGTGTCACCTCCACCTACACAAACCAGCGAGATTTCCACCTTTTTTATTTCAATTCTGCAGAAGGTAATCTGTGGTTTTGAAATTGAACATATTAATGTAATGTTCATACTAAGGTTGGGCGATATGTAAAAAATTTTCCAACCGACACTCGTCAGTCCAATAATCGACGATGGGCGATATATTCGCGCATGGGCAGATATTTTGATGGGCGGAGCAATGTAATCGTGCATGGACTGATTTGCGCCTTTACAACTCAGAAGTCCAAACATGGACAAACTAATTTCCCCCCTCCCCCAAAAAATAGGACTGTCAGCGTTAACACGGTCATCACAATTAACGCAATTAAAAATTTTAACGCGCTCAACCTATCTGGAGCGCAGAATGAAAAGACTTTGGACAAAGTGCCCGAAATGCATTGACAGAAACATTTAAGGGATTTTGACTCAGTCTGCGCTCCAGATGGGTTAATTGTTAATCGTGTTAGTCGTGATGACGGCGCATTAACACTAACAGCACTAAAAAAATATAAAGTCGCCAATTTGGTATGAAAGAGGTAAACCTAAGGGTGTAACCACCCTCTGAGGAGGGTACATTTGCTTGCAGATGAAAGAGGGTGCCGTTAAAACAGCGCTATTATTATTATTTTTTTTTCTGTTGACTGCTTCTGTTAGCTCCATCATTATTAGCAAACTTACTCATGGGCAAATGAATAAATAAATCGCCTTTGTAAAAACGATCGCCGATGGGTTCAGGCTATCATCGATTGTCGATATATTTGTCCAATCGCCCAACCCTAGTTCATACTCTTAATGCATTTGGACTATGTCAATACAAGCTCAAGTTCAAACCAGGCATCAGAATGGCGAAGAAAGGAGATTTAAGTGACTTCAAACATGGTGCTTTGAAGTCCAGTAGATCAGCTGAGTATTTCAGCTGATCTACTGGGATTTTATCAAACAACCGTCTGTAGGGTTTACAGAGAATGGTCCAAAAAGGAGAAAATATATAGTGAGCACAACGTCTCTGGGTGTAAATGCTTTGTTGATGTCAGAAGTCAGTGAAGAATGGCCAGACTGGTTCAAGTTGATAGGAAGGCAACAGCGATTCGAATATTCACTCATTAGATCCAAAGTATGCAGAAGAGCATCTCTGAATGTGGAACACATCAAATGCTCCAGCAACAGGAGACCACACCATGTACCACTCCTATCAGCTAAAAACAGGAAACTAAGGGTTCAGTTCTCACGAGCTCATCAAAATTGGACAACAGAAGGAGAAATGTTGCCTGGACAGATGAGTCTCGATGTGTACTTCAACATTCAGATAGCAGAGCCAGAATTTTTTGTCAACAACATGAAAGCATGTTGCTTTATATCAACTGCTGTGGCTGGATCCTGGAGGTGTGATGGTGTGGGGTATATTTTATTTGCACACTTTGGATCCATTAACAGCAAATGAATATCATGTAAACACTACAGCCTTCCCGAGTGTTGTTGTTGACAACGTCCACTCCTTTACGACCACAGAGAGGATCATCGGCTGGTGGATGCTTCCAGCAGGATAATGCACCATGTCACAAAATCACCTTAAGCTGGTTTCTTGAACATGAAATGGCCTCCACTGTCACCAGATCTCAACCGGCCACAGTACACTCTACCAGCGAGCCTTGTTTAGATAAATTAAATATGAAAAGATGTATAAAAACATATAAACGAGAGTTATGAAGATGCATGGTGTTTCCTCTTTTTTTTTTTTTGCTTTTTCCCCCCACTTGACATTGGCCAACATCTACAAGATTATGCTTTGCTATCCTGTAACTGCTCTCCCTAACTTAATTATTAAATACTTTCGGGCTGTTGGTTAATGTATCCTAGAAACTGAACTGCTTTATTCCAGTTTGCCATTTTTGTATTTAGTCACAACTACAAGATCTTAAAAAACTGTCATCCTGGAAAATGAATAAGCAATGATCATAAAGTGTTGAGTACACCTATTTTTGTGGAATGGTGGAAAGAAATAGTTTAGGATTTTGGTAAGTAGGTCACCCTTGTCTGCTGTCAAACTGACATTCGGGTTAGGAGGCTAGCATCACTTTCTTCTCAAGATTTGTTTAGCCTCAAAGAGAGTAAGCAGAGCAAAATGCAAATGCTAGGCTAGTGGTTTCTTGGCGCAAAAGTAAACACTTCCTTATTTATGACACAAAGATGTCATGAATCTGCTCCTCTGGGTCAGACA